CACTAACACCTCTTCCAGCAGCAACCTTAGTTTTTCCCCAGGAGGTCTCCCATCCAGGTACTGACCAGGCTCACACCTGATTAGCTTCAGTGGGTTGCCAGTTGTGAGTTGCAGGGTGATATGCCTGCTGGCTGTAGATTCCTGCAAAGAAGAACCTGAACCTCACAACTGAAGAAGGCTCCACAGCCAAAATGTTGCGTTTTCTTTCTTCTCTTTTTAGCAGGGAATAAACCTATTACTTTTCCTTTGCAGCCTACGCATGCTGACGCAGCTACCCACCTGAAAGTACATTCCTGTCTGGTGATGCTTTTAATCACATAGATGCCATCAGTGCCTGTGTTTCAAGGTGTTTGATTACCACTGCTGTGAATTTACTTCATTAATACTGGCATTTCATAGTTTGAGTATGCCATTTAAGTGAGAATCATTCTCAACTGTGGTTACATAAAAGGGCTTACATGACGGACTGAAAGGACTTAGTTCCCTGGGAAACTAGGAAATATAGAAACGTAGAAAGTTTCTATGCATACAGCTCTGACTGTTTTAGTTATAACAAATGACACATTACATTTACAAGGTAAGTATCAAAGTTCACAGTACATTTATTGACTGGAACTACAACAATCTTCTATTGCTCAAATCAGATCCTGTTTGATTTGCATTTTTAGGTCACAAGGGTCTTTCAGCAAAATTCATGGAGTGTAACATAGCACAATAAAGGTATACAGAGAGAAGTAGTGTTGAGTAGCACAATATGGGCTTAGTTGATTGAAGACTATAAGTCTACAGGTGAAGCAGTGGCCACAAATATTAACACCATTACAGTAAGTAGTGCCACTACACATCAAGTTAATCTTTTAAAACATAAAAAGTCGCCAATCAAACTAAATCTTTCGTTGATCTCATCACTGTACTTGTATTCATATCATGGACATTTCTTTTTGATCATTCATAGAAATGTTATATTGCTTAAATATTATTACCAGAAGCCAACTGATTTAACTTACATTCTATTTAAAAGTATAACTTCATATCTAATTCTAGACAAAGCTGTTCTACCAGATTTCTCTCTCATTGCACAATCCAATATCTCTTTGCAATTTTAACAAAGATTTTTGCAACACATCTCTAAAATGGAGTATGGTCACCATTTTGCTTTGAATGGTTCACAGACAGATTCACAATCATAAGCAACAGCTGAGTCTCACCTTCTCCAGATCTTTTACACACTCCTCCTCTGACAGACCCTAATCCCTGCATGGCCTGTTGACAGTTCACAACTTCCCCTCTCCTCACAACACAGGCTTTCAGTGAGGTTAATATTCCTTAATTTTCCTCATTAACTGAATTTTACACAAAAAAGGACCTATCAGCAAGTTAGGCGTTCCCAGCCGTGTCAAAATAATATGTCCAATATTCTCAATGAATTAAAATTTCTTTAAAAACGTTATAATCTGGGATTTCAAAATTCAAATTATGCCATTTAGAGGAGCTGTGAAGAGCACTGTACTTAATAAAATGACTTTCACTGTCAAATGCGTTCATTTTGGATGCACACTGATTCAGTGATTAATTTAGCAAACAAAAAAACGGCAATGATGAGCTAAATGTCACCTTTAATGCAGAGCTAACATTTACTGGATGCATCAATAAGAGAGCTGCTTCAAAACACCTTTCACTAGGGCTAAGGGAGTCTAAGGGAGTGAAATTAGCAAGGTCACTGTGGAGCACTGCAAGGGGAAGGTAATTTCCTTGTGTAAAACAAGTGCAGCACGCTGGGCTGAATAATAAGGCTCATATAAAGAAGGCTGCACGATTGGAAAATCTGTTAGTAGCCGTAAATTACTCATGTTTTCTTGGAGTGTAAAATGGACGTTATTGGGGGAGCATTGGGGATGTACACAGCCAAACAAATCCCAATTCCTGTTATTCCGCATTGATGGAAGAATCAGTTTATAGAGGACAGCCCATGAAGCATAGATTCCATTTGCTTTATGACCATTTTTCAGGCTGCTGATGGGGACATCAGCATCCCTGGCTATTCTGGGTGGTATGTTTCATGCTACCATGCTCCTCAACATTACTGCTGACCAGAAGCACTTGGCAGTGCCCACCATCTGTCCAGATGGGGATGGCAAATTCCTCTGTGGACAGATGGTGCCGGCTCCTGCTGGCTAACGGGTCCTATATCTCAATGGCCATCTGTGAACATCTGGAGCAGTGCTCCTGGAGATCAACTCCTGGAAGGCCTAGTGTCTTCTGGTTTTTGTTCCAACCTGAGCTGTCAATTTTACCTAATCCTTCTATACATTTCTAAGTCAGAAAATATCTCTTAAGATTTTACAGTTCATAAATGAAGTCACATTAAAATTATAGTTTCATATAAAATCATTTGAAACCATGTAAGATATATTACAATCACAGTTAAATAATTAAACCCATTATATACAATGTAGTGCTCTGTTACAAGAGCCAAATACACTAGTTTGGACTATAAATTAGTTTTACTTTTACTAGTCTGGGAAATCCTGTGAACTTTTTAATGCAATCCTCACTCCTCTAAAACTGCACTAAGGGAGTGGAGGTAGAGTAAAAACAGAGTGTTTTTGTAATGTGTTTACTTCTTGTATTAACCCCCTCAACATTCTTCTTTGTCTTGAGTTTGCATTTTTGTTGGCTTTGGTTTTCTAAACTGTCCTGTCCAAACCCAAAACATTTTAAAGCAAGTATAATTTTTTGCCATCTTATTTCATTTATCCCTTCTCTGCAAAACTAACTTGGACAAGACATGTCAGGTTGGATTATTACAAGACAGATATCGGTCTTCAATGCGTTCAGATATAAGAGAATCAACATTTATTTTCTTGCTTGTGTTTAAACAGCAGGAAATCGTTTTACATCTTTAAGTGGTGTGCAGCAATCAGTGTCCACAGCTCTTTGTCTAACAGATACAAGGTGAAGCATTAATAAAAACATTTTCACATTGTCATTGTTTTTCCCCACAGCTGTTCATGCTATTTCAAGAGCAGGTAACAGGGTTCCCTAGAGGAGCAACATGCTTCCCACATGTTGCTACATCTGCTGAAATGATATACCAGTAGTTGTTTCCATGGTTAATACACTGACAAGCTTTATTTTTACAAGATGTCGGCTCTTACGTGCTTGTTTTTTGGCACAGTTGGTGTGTCAATTAAAAACTGTAAGTATTCTGGTACAGATGCCTACATCCCTAATCTACAAGCGCTGTGGTAACAACCCTTGATTCAACAAGGAATAGAAAATTTTCTTCTGTGCTATACTGTTGTTGAAGTGGGCATAAGAAAGAACAGTAATACAGTACCAAAGGGCAGGTACCTGTAACCACAACAGTAAACCAAAAATCTGGACTTTACTTTGCAGTTATTTACCTGAAAGTTGAAAGGTACGATTATGGGCAGACGAAGTAAAAATGTTCAGAAGCACAAAGTATATGTATAGTGTTTTGCCTTGCCCTTTTTATCAAGCCTTCTTGACAAAGCCTGTGAATATGCATCTTGGAATAGAATAAACTGAGTTCAACCAAGATAATTACATTTCAAAGAACATTACAAAGTATGAAAAGCCAAGGCAGTTCCAGGGCTTTTAAACAATATCAAAACCACCTTTTTCTGTCAGTCAGTCAAGCCTTTTCTCATAAAGGCAAACATATATGCAGAAATAATGAGGGTAGAGGATTTTTGTGACCATTTTCATATACAATGAACCTTGGGTTATAATGAGATTTACTGATCCTCATAAACAACTCAGCATGGGTGCAGAAAATGAAGATCTTATCCAGTGTGCTAAAATTCTTTTCAGAAAACATTAAAGCAATTGATAACAGCGTATAAAATATTTTGATGCAGTTCCACATGAAAGATTAAGCCTTTAACTCAAAGCTAAAGAAACCCAAGATAAAGTGTATGTGTGGAGTCGGTTAACAAACAGAAAATGGATGGTTCTGATAGGGGGAGAAATGGTAAAGTGGCAATGCTTACCAAGATATGGAACAGGACCCAATACCACTCCTTTTAACCTATTTCACATGGCTAGACTCGGGTATATTTAGCACCTTTGCTAAGTTTGCAAAAAATAAGAAATTGTAGCAGGTTTATCAAACATTATAAGACAGTTCAAACCAATTTTGGATATATGCAAACTACTGAATCTACATCAAACTGCACAATGTTCAACTGTACAATGCATTTGTGTAACATTTAGAAAGCATGTCCCAAGTTGATCATTGTAAGGCAATAAACAATTCTAGCTCCATGGATCTCCGATATCTTCAGATTTTCAACCTACCTGAACTACTAATAACTAGTAATTAGGCTAACTGATTCTAGTAAGTACCTACCATTATGTATTGACTTCTTTTAGCTTGAAGCCCCTGGTCTCAGCATAACCCAAACTTTGATTCAGTTCTTTACTGAAGGCAGTTAAGCAGTTATCAGCTTGTTAAAACTCCTTAACAATGGGTGTAAATTACTTTAGATTGTGAATTACACACCCTGTTTCACATTAAAAACCAAAATAACATAGACGCTCCACTGATTGAGACTGAACAGATGCGCTGTGTAACTTAACACCTTTCACACAAGCTTATCACCCAAGTTGGCCTAAGGAGATTTATAAACTCGTATATGAGCAATTCTAGTACATTACTAACAAGTGGGAACTAAAGTGAAAATACTACAGTATTGTCAGTTATGCAATTGCCCAGGTCTAGACATTTTTGTGGAGACAAAATACACAGAGTATTTTTAAAGTAATAAAAGGTAAAAGTATATAAAATTCACCACTAAGTTGTGCAAATTTCTAACATCACCCCACTGTTTTAAGAGCTAAAAGGATATTATTCATGATTTAACAGGATACATAAAACAAATTAATGAAAAACGCAGAGGGAGCATAATGTAGCAGATGCAGAGACAGGCAATCTGAAACGATCTGCAACAAAAACTCTGCCCTACCATACCCACCTTGGCGCCAGCAAGAAGTCCCAGAGAAACAGCAACACGTGCCCGGAGATCTGGTCTGTCCTTGGGCCACACATATGAAAACATGGCTGCCAGGATCTTCCGTGCATCAACTTCCTTCAGCTGTTTAGAGGAACAAAAATGTACGTTTAACTTCTAATCAAACTTTTTCACGGAACATCATTTCGTCTCTGCTCTTCCTCTGTGTAACACACACTGAGAGGGACACACATGTAGCCTAAATAATGACATGTTGGAGAAATTTTTCCCCGCTGCCCCTTAAAAGACAGTCAGTAGTCCGTCTCAGAAGTTATTTAATGCGCATGGAGAGATGCTCTGTGTATTTTTCTCAAGGTAATTTAACTAGAACAGTCCTTAAATATTTTTCTATTATCCATCACGCTTCCCTGTGCTTACAAGATTGTCAGTGTTCCAAAACCATGCACATCTTCCTATCTCCCTATTTACTAAAGAAAAAGTATTACTTTTAATACAATTGGTTACTTAGGTTCGTAGCACACTTTCCTATATAACGATATAGAATTATGTAGTAGCCCTTGTGTCCAGCATTCTTTCAATCCAGTTCAAACCAGTTCTGAATGTCCGCCTTATAAAATATTGCATCTTCTGCAGGAAAAGTGTGTACAAAGTTCACAGAGACCCTCTCAACATTATAGGGAATATCTGGTAAGAGGCAAAACTAAAACTATACTGCACTGGAGTTCAGAATGTATTGGGTCATCTAAAATTAACTTTTTTAACATCACAAATAAGCTTCACAAATTTGTTTCTGAAGTTTGAAGGCTGGCATTCCTTTTTTTTTAATTTAATGCCACAGCTTAGATTTGAGTTAATACTACATTGCCAAGCTAAATAAATTGTGTGCTTTTCTCAATGCAGCCTACAGAACAATGTGAAGATGCTATCCATACCAGCAGGGGCATGACTGGCAATGCCCTATGCCACATCCATGGGCTTCAGGCCTTGAATGTTAAAGACCATATAATCACAGGGAGTAGATGATTAAATATTAAGATTAAATATTGCTAATATACTAATACATTATTATATATGAAATATATATTATATATTAAATATTGCTAATGTACTAAGTGCTAATGTACACTTTTAATGTGTCCATGGCTATTTAAAGGGTAAACGATATCAGTAGAAGATCTAGCACATACAAAAGACACCTTTACGTGTCCCAGAAGCCTACAATGGCTGGTTTGTGGGGTTGGTGGTACGGCATTATGGTGTGTTTTGAAACATACAGTGATTATACAATAAGCTAACTTAAATGAAATGCAGTTTGCTGTAGCTAATGTATGATTTTTATTTTATACCAGATGTACATTTCAGCATGTTCATAACCTTCTAATCAAATGAGAAGGGATTACAAAATACAAGTCTTCCTCCCTAAAACAAGTAAAATCAATCATAAGTGTATTAGTATGTGATTGTATGTAGTTTGAAGTATTATGAAATAGCAATACAGTGTACAAAATAGATCAAATACAATCTAACAATAATAAAATGCAGGGAACACAGATGCACAGCTCTACAAAGGGACTTGGATACAAGTTTTCAAAATCCTGACAAGTTCTAACAGACTGAACCCAAAGTACTATTGCAGATTCCACAATGAAAATAGAAACCAGTTTCAGAAATTAACTGAGCCAATGACTATGATGTTGGTGAAAGTCTGTTGCCTGCAATATCAAAGTGCTAAGAATCCCCCAAGCAACTTAATCAATAAAGGTGCTTGATCAGAGTACAGGTTAAGCTATAAACCACAGAGTACTGACTAAGCACTGATGACTACTTCACCAATCAACTGTGATTAGGACTGCCATTGGCTGAGTGGTGCTAGAAGCTGACCAGGATTTTCTGAACCTGCTACATAATAGTGTCTCCTGGAAACTGTCAAGCGCCTGCAAGCATCCAGTATCATGACGGAGATCCACTGCTCCACCAGGTGGTGTCAACTGCATGTGTAAAGCCCTGTACACCTTGAATGCCTTTCACACCTGGGCAGTGGAAGAGTGCAGACAAAGGTCTTCAGGCCAACTGGATACAACACAGAAAATAACTCCCAATTCCAACTGAAAAAAAAATACTGACCTTCGGAGTGTGTATCTGACGTTCAAAAATTAAAACTAGTCTTTTGAGTCGAACTTTCATGAAAATTTCCAACTGTGCTGTTAAAAACATGAAGGATAGACCCAGTTCCTACCAATAACACAACAAGCTCTTGGGTATGCAGAGGTCGCTGAATTTGTGTCACACAAGGACCAGGTTGCAGAATCTCTAAAATCTTCAGGGCACAGACCTTTTTTCTTCTGCTTTTCACAGGGCTGGATGGTGATCTGTTACAGACTATGGGTAATTTTAAAGGTTTCGTACAGATGTGATCTGTTTTGTTACTGCATCTTTCCAAACCCTGCTGTCTGTGTGTATTATGGCAAGAACAGAATGACAAGTGGTGCAGTGGTTAACATTGCTACCTCATAGTGTTGGGGGCCTGGGTACAACTGTAGACCTGGGGTGCTTTTTGCATGGAACTCCTCGTGTTTACATAGATTTTAGACGTGTATTCCAGTTTCCTCCCAGAGTTCAAATGCCTTTGTGCGAGTGTGTGTGTCAGTGTGACTGCCAAAGAGTGGCATCCTGTCCAGGGTGTATCCTGCCTTGCCCCCTTTGCATGCCGGGATAGGCTCCAGTTCCCCCATGACACTCAACTGGATGAAGCAGTTAGAAAATAAATGAATGTCAATACCATCACCCTTTCATTTTTATACTGGAAGCAAGTGCTGACGCACTTCCATTCTGTAATTTAGAGATTTTTGCTATTTGTTACCATTTGTAAAAAATAACCACATTTTTATCCCCAGTTTAATCCCCATTATAAATGTTCCTGCTCTCAAAATTCTTCTGGTCTCCACAAACATCTTCGACAGACATTACTCCAGACAGAGCTGAGGAAAGGTATATGAAACCCCATGGTGAATTGGTTACATTTCACTCAGTTTTCATGTAATGCATCTTTGACTGTTTTGACTTCACAATAACTCTTCTCAGTGTTTAAAGAGTGAGACTTCCCACAAGCCCAGAGGATCTGTGATAAGTGCAAAACAGACTCTAGTTTTTTGAGTTTGACAGACTAGCAGTTTGTTGCCAGTGTAGCTGTTTACCTTGCGTACTGCTCACTACCACCTGCTACAGGGACAACTGTGGTCTCAGAAGCATGTGTAGGCTCCTCTATTCCACCCAACATGATATCCTCTAAGAATATAATATGGCTTCAAGACAACCCTAACTCAAATCAAAACCACACACAAAAATTATACAGGGCATGCACTGCATCATGTATTGTGACTTATTCAAAGTTACTTCCAAGACAAACCTACAGTATACAAAAATAACTGCCTTGACATTTGGGGTGATTTTTTTTATTTACAGAATTAAATACAAAAACAGATAGTAAAGATTTGTCGAGGGATAAAATATATTCCAATGAAGCTTTTGTTTGTAAAAATGTTAAAAGATTATCAGGAAAAATCCCACAAATGAAAGGATAATGTATACAGCCAAGTTGAAAGAGTCCCATCTTTTTTTCTTAGAACAAAGGACTGACAACCCAAGCTGATAAAGTGAACAGGACAACTCGCAATTAGGCATCTGCAGATCGGAAATAAAGAATAGAAGGAGCTATTTACGAATAAACAAAACTGCAGTTGTGTAAAACATTCTGCAAACTATTCTGAAGAATACCTCAATAAAACCCACTAACAAGACCTTAAAGTTAAACTACTGGCAGACAAAAACTCTAAGAGCAGCCTCTGAACTACAGAAAATAGGTAACACCCAGCACCCTGAGGAATGCACCTGTTTTTTCTTAAAAATCCAAAGGACGACAGTCTTACCACATTCTTTGGATCCGCATTCAGACCTCCACCAGCGTGTCCATGCCAGCATGTTCGTTTGTCTGCCACATCCCACCACTTCAAGCCCTGAAGCACAAATGAAGCACAGTGACATTTAATGCAGTGCCAGTAGGAAATACAAAAACAGTTTGTCAGTTACTTCTGTATTATCAGTGTTTTATACTTGGCTACAAATCAAAATGACATTGACATTGTCTTGTTTGTTGCCCTGAATAAAGATGTCTTATAAACAACAATAAGACAAGGCAAAAAGGTGTCGGGGTTAAATTGTCTCTCAGCAATCAGTAAAAATGCTTTTAGATGAACGGGAAAGAAAAGTTCAGACAGACTTCATGACAAATTCTTCAAGCAAAAAGCCTGCAGGTGTTTACTTAGTGAATAATAGCTAAAGAATGAAACTAATTCACAGCCAGATGTTTGAGGCAAAGACTGAAGAGAATGTACAATCCTGATGTACATAAGACATAACCGTAATAACCTACATAAGAAGCAGTTCCGTGCAGAGACTAACAGACAGAAAGGTCTCCCGCCACTGTATTTATACTTTCCTTTGCATAAGAAATTTCATTACTTTCTACTGGTTTGCCACATTCTAATGTCCTGTATAGCTTTCAAAATACAACCTACAGGGAACCAGATTCTTACCAAAAGAAGGAGAACACCTTACCTGGACAGGCTGACAAAGAACACTTGACAGTAGCACCTTTTTAAAACTTGATGAGGTCTTTAAAATAATAACTGGCCACCAACCTCTCCTTTGTAAGGTGCTGTAGCCTTTAATTACATCTTATGTATATACTGTATACTGCATTTATACACACACTACTCTTTTGCTCCCCAGGCTAACATACTGCATTCTCCTCTTTTGCCACTTGGTGCCTTCAAACTTGCAATAAGTTACTTACAGATTGATTGCAGAATGTGAAAGCGCATTAAGACTCACCTGAAGGCGGCTGTCAGTAACCAAGCAACAGAGACTAAATGTTTTTTTGTACAATGGGAAAACAGCATGTCCATTTACTTTTGGAAAATTTGAGCTGTCTGGCAAAGGAACAGAGCCTTTCTTTCCCTAAACTCATGAACTCAGTATAAACCACCCTAAAGACTTCATTAATCTGGTACAAAGGCAAACTCGCAGGGCAGGACAGCAGGTCAAACAGAGGTTGAAGAGGAAGATGAAGGGAGGGAATTCTGCTGTCTTTGCCCCCAGTTAAAACCTTGCACCTAAGAGAACTCCCCCACCTGCCCAAAAATATCACATTTTTTTCTACTTTCTCATTTTGATTTTATAGCATATAGACTGGTTACAATTCCAGCCTATGTGGAACACATACCAGTGTGAAACATGGCCCTTTCTATACTTGCTCTTCTGTCCTAATTTCATAGAGAAGACGATAAAAGTTGACTCCCACAGCACTTCATCCATGATGGAAACTTCAGCTGCAGCCCTGGTGTGTACTGAAAACACCCAGGCTGTCAGATGAGTGGCAATTACTAAAGAGAAATAAAATAAGCGAACAGTACCCCAGATATATACGAGCACCATGGGATTCCAAGCTTAACCGAGCAAGGTCCGGTTGCATCAGAAGAAAACATGATATGGGTGTGTAGAACATCAGCTTACCTTTGTAGCTTCCAGTAACTGCCTGTGACTGTCCCTTCCTATGTTTTGCCATGCTGCTGGCCTTGTACATGTGCTTGAAACCTGCAAAAAAAAAGACAGGTCAGCCTTATTTTAGAAAGTGCTTATTGGTCAGTTAATCACAAATATTACCAGTGCCGAAGAAGCCAGAATGTATCCTAAAATGGGTTCAGGTATCTGGATTTGAGCTGCACAGCAGCTTGGACACGGAAAAGTGCTTAAATTTTAGGATTGCCAGTTGTATGTTTCTCACCTCATGGCTTGCAGCTATGAATCCTATGACCACACACATGCTAGAATGAGAATTATTAGCATAGGAAGACTTCACTAACCTGCCAGCTCTGAGCCACAAGTGTTTTAAGGCGTTATTGGCAACACAACCCCGTAGTGGAGGATGAGCACTGATCGGCAGAGTAGGGCATCACTCACCAATAGCACCATGTGCCTACAAGTGTCCAGGTGGCCACAGGGGGCGCTGTGTCACTAACAGACCAGACAGCCCTAGCCAGCTAATCCCTCCCTAGCATCGGCAGTGCTCAGCTCAATTGTGAACCACTGTTTAGGGAGTCCGAGTCCCAGGCGGCTATTGACATGACCCAGGCTCGAACCTGTGGCCACAGAGTTCCAGCTGCACTCAGGAATGTGGGTCTATCAGTTGAGTCCCTCAGGGAGCTCCAGAAAAACTCACTTCAGGAGCAAAAATAGAAAATGTCAAACTCAAACCCCACACTGAATGTTCATTACAAAACTACATCAGCACAATCAAGGAAAGTCAATTCTATAATTCTTCTAAAGGAGAAAGCATTTTTTCTACTGAGACATTTGAGAATTTACTTGAACACACTGGAGGTCATCTATTAACTGTTGGCATTTCTTAAGAGCTGAAACCTCTTCTTAAGGCAGTTACGGGTTAAACTACGTTTAGTGCAAGAGATGGGCTGGAACACAAACCAGCAAGCATGCAAGTCTCCAGGACCAGGATTGGGAACCTGGTACAGACAACTCTTTAATCACTGAGGCTAACCCATGTCATGTTAGTCTCTGTATAACAACGTACAGGGCTATTTCTGACCACCTCCACTTCCATTTCCACACAATCAAGAACCTTGCAGATGAAAACACACACCTAACAATCTAAAATTTCTTCACTGACACAAAAAACAGTAAATGTCTGACTGTATTAAACGTATCAAGTGAGAAAGAAAAGAGTGAATTTGAATCAAAGGAGCTAAACACGGGGGTGAAATACCTAGGTTTTGTTCCAAATCAAGATCTTAAGCTATATTTATTGATGTAAAAAATGCCTCAAGCAGATGATTTTTTTAAATCTAAATGTGATTCTTTACAGCAGCTTTTTCCAAGTTGTCCAGGACTAGTGCTGCAAAGGAGTAATTCAAAGTTTACTCATCATTCAGGTTCCTGCAGCTAAACCAGTTTTCTGTTGCCTAGACATAAGAGATATATAGTTCAGGTGGGTAGCTGCGTCAGCATGTGTAGGTTGCAAAGGAACAAGTAATAGGTTTATTCCAAGCTGAAAAGAGAAGAAAGGAAACAACGTTTTGGCTGTGGAGAAGAAGGTTTTTACTTGTTCCATAAGAGTTTGGTATACATACTGTACTGGAGTCTATACATAAACTGGTCTGAAGAAATAATTCACCCAACAGCTCTATAGGACTAGAAAAACGCTTCCAGAAACAGCGTCTGTCATGCGTTATATAACGCATGGAGGTAAGTACATGCAATACGAATTTTCATCATCACCTCGGAGCTGTAGCTCCACTGTTAGGAGTGCATTGTACCTTATCTCCAAATACAAGTTGCAAAATGTGAACAAGCCTTGTTGTGATAGGAATGTCATGTGATACGAGGTCGCCTGACCACCTACACCGGTGGTAGTGTAATATTACATTTTTCACACTTTTCTGTTTCGCAACACGGATCGGATACTTTCCTGCACCGGAACAATCAAGTATTATAAAGATTATCTATAGATGACCTATAACAACCGGAAGAAAACGGCATTTCTAATAGCGTTTTTTCCCTACCACCAAAATAAACGCCAAGCCAGATGGCAAAGTCAGCGCAACTCTAACACTGGTCAGAAATACATTATTATTTTTTGTAAATAGTGATCACGGACACACATCGCAAACACTGCAGCTCTAATTGCGGGTTAAGGATTTGAGGTAAAGAAAATTACACGTTAAACAAACACCGAATGGTCCGAAGGGCAACGTTAAACAAACACCCACTATTAACAGCCAAGTATCTCCCTGAGAGAAAAAACTTTTTGTGAATAACTTCAGATAATATACAACTGGTTACATACTATCAATCCCTTCCTACACAAAAATATTAGTCTTCATATTTCATAAATCGCAACACTGAGCTTTATAGTAACAACTTTTAATGCAGCTCTAAATCAATTTAAATGCAATTGGACCCCAATGTTCCTCATACGTTTAACTCACACTTCTTGCTTTGTAAGCTACGTAACAGTTGCTATGACACGAAATTATGTTGCACTTCAACATAACTTTACAGCCTCATTTGTTCGTCCCTGTGTTACTTAGGTGTCCTTGTGAATTAATGCTGCCCGTGCTGCTCTTACCTGGCATGTCTTCTGCTGTAGATGATATGTCCTGTTCTTCTGGCCGTTGTGATGTTTTAGAACATGGTAGGAGCTAGTCTGTTGTAGTAAAAGTGCCAGTTTTCTCCTCTGAAAGTAAAATCCACATTTCAGTGAACCTACCAACAGCGCCATGTTGAACGAAAAAGAGGCAAGTTAGGCAAGTGACTGAAGTATTATGGGATATGGTGTAGCTTGCTCCTATCAAGAAACTGACTCCATGTTGGCTCAATGGGAGGGCGAACAGCCCGTGGAGTGTTTTTTATGAAAATGAGCCAAGATGGCGACCCATCCTGTGTGGTTTCCGAATATGAAAGTCATAAAATTGACTTTTGTCAATGGAAGATATGCCGGTGTATTTATGTATTTAACGATAACATTATTTAATCATGATGCTAAAATTGCAGGATCAGTGAGGTGGTAACTATTTTAAGGTGTGTTATGAGTTCAGTATAGGCTGTCCTCTAGTTAGTTTATTCCAGGCTGAAGGATTGCGTTATATAGGCAGAGGTAGCCCTGTACCATGTTTTTTGGAAACCAGGGCTGGAGGTACCATTCAAATAAAATCTCCTCTTTATAAATCAACTAAAATATATAATAGCAATACAAATTATCGTATTCATTTAAAATTCAAAATATTAAAAACGTACCTAAAGGTCAACAGATCCAACTCCAAGATCTATTTATTATGCTTTACTAGGTGAAAGGTTCATCCTCCTGGGACTGTCTTTGAGTGGTCCCATTTTTATAGTTATATAACCTTAATTTAGGAAGGAAGTCTCCTTGAGATCAAGTTCTTTTTTTTTACAGAGACATTCCTACTGGGAATTCCAGTTGCATCCAATATAAATAAGCTAATGGTTTCTATTGGTCTGAACTGGGGTGGCAAGGTGCCACTGTGGTAAGCACTGCCACTTCACTGTGCTGAGGCCCTGGGTTCAACTCTGGACCTGGGGTGCTTTCTGTGTGGAGTTAGTATGTTCTCCCTGTGTTCACATGGGTTTTCTCCCACAGTCCAAAAACAACGTGGTAAAATGGGCCCTGTTGTGAGTGTGTGTGTGCACTTTTACACCAATTTTTTCCCAGGGTGCATCCTGCCTTGCACCCTTTGCTTAACAGTATAAACTCCAGTTCCCCCATTATCCTGAACTGGGTAAAAGTGATAAGAAAATGGGCAAATGCTCTGAACTGATATTTATTGGTATGAACTGGTTTACGCTACTCACCAGTTAACCATATGGCCAGCAGCCATATCGCCTGCAACTCACAACTGGCAGCCCACTGAAGCTAAGCAGGTGTGAGCCTGGTCAGTACCTGGATGGGAGACCTCCTGGGAAAAACTAAGGTTGCTGCTGGAAGAGGTTAGTGAGGCCAGCAGTGGGCACTCACCCTGCAGTCCATGTGGGTTCTAATGACGGGGACACTATACTGTAAACAAGTCCCATCCTTCGGATGAGACGTAAAACCGAGGTCCTGACTCTCTGTGGTCATTAAAAATCCCAGGGTGTTTCTCGAGAAGAGTGTAACCCCGGTGTCCTGGCCAAATTTCCCAGTGGCCCTTTCCAATCATGGCCTCCTAATAATCCCCCTCTATGAATTGGCTACATTACTCTGCTCTCCTCCCCACTGAGAGCTGATGTGTGGTGAGCGTTCTGGCGCACTATGGCTGCCGTTGCATCATCCAGGTGGATGCTGCACATTGGTGGTGGTGGAGGGGAGTCCCCATTACCTGCAATGCGTTTGAGTGGAGTGTCCAGAAAAGCGCTATATACTGTAAGTGTAAGCAATTATTATTACCTTACAGATAGAATTCGAAGTGTCTGTATAGTCTGTAATAAACTGGGTTTTAAAAAAATCGGAACTGGAAGTCAACAAGAACACACTATACACTTATATATATACTTAAAACAATAAGAATAATACAAAAAAGTTAAATGATCAAACATGGTTATGACAGGACAATAAACGACACTAGTTTAAAGCATGAACATGACTACATGTAATCTGACAATAATCTGACAAATCTATCTTTAAATTAAACATCTTTTATTCCCAATAACCCGGACAGTTTGTTGCATTCATCCTTTATGGAGTGGAATGTAACTTACTTTACTAAGTGATGTCGCCATTTCTGGAGACTGTAACATCACGTGTAAAACGACTCTTTGCACAAAGGCATGTTTAGGCGACACTCAACGAGGGCAGGACTGTCAATGCAATCGACAGGAAGACAGAGCCAGCTCATTCCAGCGCGATCGATGCGGTGTTACAGTTGGGGGTTTTAACGTAGCTTGTGGTATTCATGCATATCTATTGGAATAGTGCTGGGTTAAAAGTGAAATATTGCACTGTACTATCCTGTGTTTAAACGCATGTACAGCACTCCTCTTTTTTAAAGAGCGACTTATTTTATTCTATGTATTACCGAAACCGGGTTTCCCGTGATTGACTGGAGTCCTAGCCACTCAGAGAGTATTCTACACAGTGATCGCATATCCTGTTACAGCCTGTACTGCTCTCTAGCTACGCGCTGGCCGCCGCATTGATGTCACCGAGACCTCTTCAATGGCTGCGGGGACACGTTGTTTTATTTGTTGCTATTTGTCTTTTTTATTGAAAGCCAAGACCCAGTAGCACGGCTACACAACAGACGGGCACTAGTTCCTGTTCTATGGAAACCTGTACTGACATCAGCATTGCCACGGAGAAGATAATGCCTTGCCATAACCAGCAGCTGAGTAGCACTGCTAACCAAGAGAACGCTGTGATAAGCAGCACGAAGCAGGTCAGGTTTGCTAGCAGTAACGGCAGCTCCGGCAGTAGCGACTCGCCTGTGTGTAATACAGAGGCTGAGGAAGTCCCTGACCCCTGTCAGACGGATATCAGCGGTGAAGCACTTCGGCAGATCGGGCCGCAGTTGAAACTTCTACCTCTAAATGATCAAATCCGAGAATTACAGACCATCATTAGGGATAAGTGAGTATTCTAAATCAGAGAATTACAGACCATCATTAGGGATAAGTGAGTATTCTAGGATGTGCTTTCGGTCTGATTCTCTTATCTTGACGCGATTGTTAACGTCACTGGTCGGCCGGACGGTAGCAGGGTGAGCAGGACTCAAACCAGTGCATTACAGTTGAGACAGGAGGTAACCAGGATGCGAGGATGGGTTATGTGGTTTTTGTTCAGGTAGACCGTCCTGTAGGAACCTGTGAATTTAAAGAATAACCTTAAACTCTAATAACATTTTCGATAACACCTCAAAGTCACGGTTAACAAAGTCACATGTATTAATGTACCACTAGAATCTAATGCCAATTCATTTTTTTTTAATTGGTGATGTAGGATTCGATATTGTAATTTAATGTCCTTTTGTGTCTTTTGACAGCCTCGTTTGGTCTAATCTATAGCCGACGTCACCTGTATGACGCGCGCACACAGCTGTGTCCACCGCTGCTGGACGCGCTTGGCATACTGATACCACTGTATATCTTTCTGGGGCTGAAATGAAATCCACCGAGGAAATCATTTAACCCATTGTGAACAGAGTATGAAAGACTTTACAAGAGTTAAAATTATAAATGCACTACCGGCATCATTCCATTATAATAAGCGCCTTGATAACTGTTATGCCTACAGTATATCAGATGGTAGCTTGTACAGGATTCTGTAACTAGATTACTAACTTACAGAGATCTTTCAGATCATATCATCCCTAAATTCAATGCTCAGTTCTTTTCCTCCTTTGGTCACCAGTAAACGTATTGTTTTATAAAGGAGCTAGAACAATGTACGTACAAAGTCATTCTCACCTCCCATAATTAGATCACATCCCGAATTTCACATATTAATAACCACTGCCTAAGATCACATAGCACAAACATTTTGGCAGTTCTGATACATAAACTGTTTTTTTGTGTTTTGCCCATGAGCCTTGCATTGCCTTTCTTTCTATAAAGAATGGGCACTGTGTAAATGGTAGCTGAGTGAATCTCTCATTTTGGCCAGAGTTTGGGCATCAATAACATGTCTGGGAAGTCTGTTCCAGACACTCCTTGAGTAAAGAAGTGTTTTCTATTCTCCATCCTATATTCTTCTTGGGTTTTCAATTGTGACCCTGTGTCCTTGTTTCATTACCTAGTGTGAAAAAATCCCCCATATTGAACCTACTGTATCTCTGCCTGTTAAGATTTTTGTGTACCTGGATCAAATTTCCTCTGTCTCCTCTGTTCTAAGACTGAAGAGATTTAACTCCCTCAACCTGCCCATTTACAACAGTTCCCTGAGAGCAGCATTAGTTGTTATTGTAGTTCAGGTGGGTAGCTGCGTCATCATGCATAGGCTGCAAAGGAACAAGTAATAGGTTTATTCCATGCTGAAAAAAAAGAAGAATAAACCTATTGTTGTTTCTCTTCTTTAACTTTACAAGGTTAAAATATATTTTCTGTGTTCTTTTCTATATATATATATAAAAACACATAATTCATACATGCTGTGAATGAGAATTTGTTCTGAACGGGCTAATGAGGGTTAAAGTAATCATGGATTTTAAGGCTTGTTTCACGTCTCATAACTGAATTTAAATAAGTTTGATGAACTCCAGTCTTTTGGAAGCTGGAGTTTTGCTGGTTTTACAAAACCAGTTACAACGTCATCATAAGTTGATGTTAATTAAGATCAGAAGGGGAAACGAAACAAGAGGGCTCTGCAACTGGAGAAGTGGAGCTACCCACCCCTGCCTAGCTAAAGACTGGACCTATCAGTGGGATATAAATAAAGGAGTGTGGTGGGGAGGCATGAGCAGTCCAGATTGTGTAAGCTGTTCACAATGACAAGGCTTTCAGGATTTTAAACAGGCATGGCATAGTGGCACAAAGGTTAAAATTGCTGCCTCAGCACACTGGGGCCAGGGGTTCGATACACGGGGTGGTATCTTTGAGGAGTTAGTAGGTTCTCCCCGTGTTTGAGTGGGTTTCCTCTGAGTGCTCCAGTTTCCTCCAACAGTCCAAAGACATTGTGAGTGTTTGCTTGTTTATGTCCGTGATCCTGTATTGGATGAAGAGGTTAGAAAGTGGATGGATTTCAAACAATTGTGTAGCCATACAACTTCGAGGTCTGGTTTGACAATTGGCCCATCCAAGGAATTATTTAAAGAATGGCTGTAGACCCCCTTTAACACTTACAGCCCCACCTTTGATTTGGACAGGCTTGGATTTGGGTGGATGCATACAACATCTGCCTTTCCCAAGTTTCATTTGCTATAAAAAGGTTGTTTGACGTTCTCTGGAAAAGACGGTGAAAAAAGTTTTGGGATTAAAGAAATATAGATTTTACCATCAGAACATGATTCATCTAGCGGAAGACGTGCCTTTGGGAAAATTGAGATCCTGTGAGAATACATTATGGCAGCCTCAAAGCCTGATGGCCATAGTAGATGACAGATTTTACCTGTCAAAAGTAAGTGAAAAAGAATAGACATCCAATTATCTGTGGACTGTCATCTACATCCAATTGCATAAAACACACCAGAGAGAGGATCAGCTTCCAGATACTTGTCTGGAAACATTAATTGGAAGTAATTAATTAAGAATCTTTGCACCTAAGCGCAAATGGGTCATTTTTTCTAAATAGGGCAGCAGCATTAAAATGTTGCTTGTGCATACATTAGATCACTGTAATATTGATGCTGAAGCTACAATTCCTGTGCTTGTCATTTTTAGTTTTAGAGGCTTATAGATATACACTATTATTGGACTGCACAATTTTATGGTACAGCAGGAGTAGAAATGCTACTTAGTTGCCATCAAGAAAATCGGGCTTTGGCAGTTTCAGTTTACAATGAGCGCCTTAGTGTTTCAGAAGCTCTGTAACTCAGTTGTGCTACTGTACAGAAAGCAGTGTAATAGTTCATAAGGTATATTTAGAAATACCTCGGGACAAACCAGCATTCTCTTGACATTACCCAGCTTTCCTCTTACACTTTCATTCATTTAAAGCCTTGGTAGTATATACAGTACTTTACGAAAGGATCTCTATTTACCTCTTCCACTCCCACAACTACAATTGCAACAGGCTTAAGGCAGGATACACCCTAGATGAGATGCCAGTCCATCACAGTGCACACATAGATTCAAGCACACACCTACTCACACCAGAGCAAATTTTAACTACCATTATGTTTTTGGACTGTGGGAAGAAACTAAAGCTCCTGAAGGAAACCCAGTTGGGATGGAACTTGGGGAGAACATTCAAACTCCACACAAATAATATGCCAGGAACGGATAAGCCTGATGAGCCTTGGGCTTCAATGCTTCAAGGCAGCAATGCTAACCAGTGCACTAGTGTGCCGATGTAAGATCTCTTACAAATTACAGACTACTGCTGTTTAATTATGTAATGAATCATAAATGCAGTAACAGGTAAAATACAGCTGCGACAGCAATGGATTAGTGACAGTACAATAAGGCTGGACATAAGGTATGCTGAAGAAGAGAGTTCAGCAGTCAAATGCTGGAAGAGTAACCTAGGCAGCAGGACATAGAAAGACAACAGGATTTGTAAGTGAGTGTGAAGATGTCAGTTATGAAAAGTCATTTGACAGTACGACAGAGGTGTTACAGTTGTGATCTTTACTGTTTGACGGTGTGGGAGGAGAATGAGCAGATGTGGCAGAAAGGGTTAGAGGTGGAATAGGGAGAGAGGGTAGATTGGAGACAGGAGGGGGCTGAGTGATGGAGATGCTGGACATAGAGATATCAGAGAAGGGGAAGTAACAAACAGTTTTAACAGGAGCAGCATGGGAGAAGTTGCTGTCTTCCAATATTTTTTTTGTTCCCTTATAGGACAACCAGCAGAGGGGATTTTGTATTTTGTGCTGATCGACTGGTAAGATAACAATCAGTATTTTCAAGTTCTTTCATGCGTTGTAATGGTTGTCATTTGCTTTGATTTGAATTAAAGCTGACAGCCTCTTGAAGCATTTCCTCCGAAGTCTTCATTTTGGTGGATGTCTGATAAGTAGCTTGTTGCTTACCTGGGCCTCTTTAAAAATCACACTCGCAAGGAAAAATTCCTCCAATTTCATCTTCTGCTAAACTAAGAGGAAAAGTGGCATCCACATGTCTGACAGGAAAGAAAAGTGGAAACTGGTCTAGACCCTGTCAGTGCCTGTCACACCCCCTTTGTTTTCCTTATCATATAGTCATCATGAGCAGTGAAGTGATAAGCAACCAAAACCAGCAGATTCCAAATGTCTATAAATTCCTGCAAACAGCTCTTGGCATGAGATCTTTTGGTTGTCTGTCTGATGTTCAATGGTAGATCTTCCCCAAAATACCACATAGCTATTAACCATACCACACCTGCTGTAATATTTATTGCTTGTTTTTTGTACCACAAGAAAATTGAATTGTTGTTTTAAATCTCTCATAAGAGCAAACTACAGAGTACATAACTTCTTATACAGAAATAGCTTGACCTATTTGAAATTTGAACTTACAATCAAAGGCAGTTCTACCTAACAGTGATTCTTCAATACTGAATGTAGTGTAATGTGCAGTACAGTACTTTACTAGGGTGAGTTAATTGAAAACAACAACAACAAAAAATATCCCTTGTTTAAAGAAGCAGGAGAATGGATATCTTCCACAACATAGGAGGTTTTAATTAGGGGAGGAAGAAGATGAAAGGTCAAAGTCTGGGTACAGATATGGTTGCAGTGATGTCATGAGAATATTTTAATAGGTTAAGCACCCCAAACTCTGTTAGTTGCATCTGCCCTGCCTCATCACCCTTTTCTTTTACTAGAGTGTTGAAACTGTTTCTTGTCCTACAGATCAGGCTAGTAGTGGAAGAAGGACTCAATCAGCTGCCCTACACTGAGTGCACAGTTACTACCCCAACAGGTGAGACAGCACGAAATCGTCCCCACTCACCCTACGGTGTGGGCACAATCACTACCCCCACAGGTGAGAGAGCACACAATCAACCTCACTCACCCTACAGTGTGGGCACAGTCACTACCCCCACAGGTGAGAGAGCACACAATCAACTTCACTCACCCTACAGTGTGGGCACAGTCACTA